GTTCCAAGGAAGGTGTAGAAACAAACGGTGCTCGATTCGGGTAAGAAACGAGTGAGAACGGAGCAATCGAAGTCAGTCGGGACGGACCAGAAATGCAGAACGGACGGACTGACAAAGGCAGAACGGACGGACTGCTAAAGGCGGAACGAACGGAACACGAACGAACGAGGAGGTGGGTCGAAACTGGGCCCAGACTGTTCGTTCCAGGCCCAGAACGGACGGTCCGCTTGACAGCACGCAAGTGGCCAACTTGCTGCCTTGGGATGCGTATTTCTCTGCGTTTCCGGACTCCACCGGCGTCAACTCGCCGATCAATCTCACCAGGACATTGCAGGCTCGACCTTGGGCCTGGGCTTGAGCCCATTACGCCTCCCTCACGCGCAATAAACCTCCCTCAACCCCCAGACTCAGCCATTTCCGGACTGAAACCAGAGGAAATAGAGAGAGAGAGAGAGAAAAGAGAGAGAAAGGGGGAGAATGGAGGAGACCCAGCGCAAGGAAAGCTTGGGGAAGTAAGGGGAGACATCCCTAGACTGTGTAGGAGAGGTTTCCGGTGAGGAACAAACCGGAAAACGCCATGAAATCCGGCCAAACCATATCTGAGCTGAAACAGAGGTGAGTGGCTTGAGTTGTTTCTATATAAGCTCGTTTTCATCGATGTTACTGTGTTATCTCGATGATTTGCTGCTTGTATTGGTTAGAGGAGATTTCAATGAAGATTTAGCAACAAACCACACATGATTTGGTTGAAAAATGAGTGAGATATGATTGAATGAAGACTGAAGAAAAACAGGGAATTGCAGAACGTGAATCTGTCTTGTCAAATTACGAATCCTTTTTCACCGTGTTACTGAAGCATTTAAATACTTGGTTGCTTGGATTAGATAGAAGACATTCCAATGAACATTTAGCAACAAACGACACGTAATTTGGTTGAGAAATGAGTGAGAAATGGCCAAACGAAGTCGGACCATAAAACTGTTTCGCGAGAGAGAACAGAGCTGGAACGGACGGTCTGTTTTGGCAGACCCGACGGTCTGGGTGACCCAGACCGGAAGGTCTGGCATCCCCAGACCGAATGGTCTGCGTTCCAGACCTCAAAAATTGTCCCGAGAGGCCTCGGAACAGCATGGGACCCCTGGACCGACCGTTCTAGAGTACATAACCCTTTTTCGGATGATTTTCGAATCTCGTGTGCGTGAGATGTGCGATACAACGATTCGAGTGACTCGTTGCGTGATTATACGGGGTAGTTTGCATGGCGTTAAGTGGTAGATCGGTAAGGGACCGGATACCGTGATACGTGTGATTGTACTGGGGGATATACATGATGTGTGCCATGTGTGTAGCTTGCTCGTGCGTACGAGTCAAGCATGATTGTGTTTGTGGATGGTTGTGGACGCAACCATCACCGTCATGGACTTGACGGGCGTTTGAGATACAATTAGTCGTGTGCGACACGACGGCCAACGTCATGGACTTGATGGGCGTGTGACG